TGTTGCACAGGCTCACATACCTTATCTTTATCTTTCAGCCCCCTCCTCGATTCTGACATCATTCTCTCACATGAGCTCAACCACACATCACACATTTTTAGAAGTGGTATAAGCTTATCCAGCTTCTTGAGGTTTGGGACAAAAGGCTTTCGGTGCTATCTGAAACAGATTATAATCATCTGTTTACATAACTTTTCTTCCAATAGATTTGAGTTTATGAGGGCTGTGACAGAGTCTCATTCATCTTTCTATCAACTCAGTACCTAGTAAAATTGCCAGCACAGATAAAATCCTTAATATATATGTTTGTTGAATTCAAGAATCAATTTTCCATGATTGGTACAAAACAGTGATAGGTTTGTAGCTCCCACCTTTCCTACCATTAAGGACTATATATATATTTTTGGCAATGAGTTTAACATTTTGAATGCTTTTTCTATAAAACTTCCTTTATTAAATAATTCATTTTCCTCTTTGTATTAATCAAAAATAGATATATAGTTACCTATCAGTATTTAAAACCCAGTGTTACCACAATGAGTTATCTCAGTCAAAAGCAAAGAAAATAGACATTTTAACTAGCAGTTTTTTCTCAGATAAAAAGACAATTTCGGTTCCTTATAACTGGTTTCAAAAAAGAACTCTAGAATCCAGGGACTCCAGTTTACAAGTATTTATAAAGTTTTCTCCTTCATTTCCTTCCACACAAATAGATTTAATATGAAAAGGAAACTTTTTGATTATGGATATTCACTTATTTACTTTAGGACTCAGTGATTTTATTTTATTTTTTTAAAGACTCCATGAAGTTTTTCTTCTTATCTCAGGGTATTCTTGGGCACATCACCATTTATGGAATTAAGCTCCCCAGACATCTGTTCTTGCAACATATTCTGTATTTCCCATGAAAACTACTTTTTTTTTTCCCTCTCTTGGTAGAAAGCAAAGGAAAAACTTTTTTTTTTTTGTCTATCTGCTCATTCTTTAGAAACTGTTCTCTTCCATCTCATCATGACCATTTTCGTAATCCTTAGAAATGCCTGTATGGGATTCCTGGTTTCTATAACACAGACACATAACCTACCTGGGCAGACGTATAAACATAGCTTACAGTTTTCCCTGAGCTGAAGATATTCCTTCTTAGCTGCCAGAATGAGTATGTTCATCTTAATGGTTAATTCCAATTACCATGTATATTTAGCACTTTCCCATATGCTGTGCAGATTTTAACTTTGAACTCTGGAGAAGAGCAGCCTATATTTTCTCTCTTCAAACATGTATTAACACAAGGATAAAAACATATTCAACATTCTAAAACTGAAAAAAAAAAATTACAAAATTTCTATTCCACTCCCAATTTTTGAAAGATTTCCTGTTTTCTGGCAAGGCCATGGTATATAATTTTGGCACATTCTGGCGAAAAAGTAACAGTCAGATCTAAAAAGCCATTCCTAAAAGTAGGTCATGAACTTAAGTTCCAGGAGTGAAATATCTTGTGGGCCAATTTGCCTATAATGGCCCACTGCAGGATCTAACATGAAACTGTTCAAACACAGAGTGGTTGAGCCTCTGCTCCTGATCACTGCCACACTTCGTGCTACAGCTCTCACATCCTGGGAATAAACCTAACGCAATCCAATTCTAGTTTTAATGTCATAGGATCATTTCTCCCAGCTGTATCTGTTCTCAAAGAACAGAATGTTTAAAGGGAATTATTAACTGGATCCAGTGAGACTCAACACCATATCTAAAGAAAAGAAGAAAATGTAGGCAACTATTTTCTGTTATTCTAAAAATCAGTCAACAATGGCCAGGATCCAAGAACATTTACCACAGTTTGTCTGTAATTTAGGTTATCTGAGTGGCTGAGTTTATCAGTCCCCTTGCACACTGCTGTGAAGAACTACCTGAGACTGGGTAATTTAGGAAGAAAATAGGTTCAATTGACTCAGTCCCTCAGGCTTCACAGGAAACATGACTGGAAGGCCTCAGGAAACTTACAATCATGGCGGAAGGCGAAGGGGAAGCAAGCACCTTTTCTACATGGTGGCAGGAGAGAGTGGGAGCACAGGCGACGGGGGAAGTGTCGCACACTTTTAAACCATCAGATCTCATGAGAACTCACTCACTATCACGAGAACAACATGGAGGAATGCCGCCCCCACGATCCAATCACCTCTCACCAGGCCCCTTCTTCAACACTGCGAATAACAATCAACACGAGATTTGGTTGGGGACACAAAGCCAAACCATATCACTGAGTATACAGTTGTATTTTACAGATACAGAGGCCATGAAAACAAGAAGTGATACTAAATTTCTTCACAGCTAACAGATCATTTTTGTGTGTGATTTTACATGGTGTTAAAATGCAAGCTAAAAAAACATCTTCTCAAGGATGGTGGCACAAGCTGCACCCCAACCCAACTATTTTATTACTGCAAAGTAGATAAGTTTAGTATTTCCTCTTCAAATAAAAGTACAGGGCAGGAATGGTGGCTTACACCTGTAACACTAGCATTTTGGGAGGTTGAGGTGGGAGGATCTCTTGAGGCCAAGAGTGCAAGACCAGCCTGGGCAATGTAGCAAGACTCTGCCTCTATAAAAAAAAAAAATTGTTTTTTAATTAGCTGGGCATGGTGGTGGGCACCTGTTGTCCCAGCTACTTTGGAGGCTGAGGTGAGAGGACAGCTTGAGGCCAGGTGTTTGAGGCTATCATAAGCTATGATTATGCCACTGCACACCAGCCTGTGTGATAGTGGGAGACCCTATTTCTAAAAAAAAAAGTTTTTTTTAAGTATGATCATTTCCTTACTAAATATACAGAAATTAAATTGCTTAATGCTTTTTACAATCACACAAATACAGCATATTTTATCCTGCTTGAAGAACAGCTAAGCAGAGAAAGTGATCTTCAAGAATCCAAGCACTTCACACACACGCGCGTGCACACACACACACACGCTCTCTCTAAAGGAAAAAAAAAAAACACTTGAGATCACAAGAATAAAAGTTCTTTTTATATTTAAATTGAGACAGGGTCTCCTCTGTCGCCCAGGCTGAAGTGCAGTAGCACAGTCACAGCTCACTGCAACCTTGACCTCCTGGGCTCAAGTGATCTTCCCATCTCAGCTTCCTAAGGGCTGGGACTACAGATAGGCACCACCACGCCCAGCTAATTTTAAAATTTTTTGTTGTGTAGAGATGAGGTTTCCACATGTTGCTCAGGCTGGTCACGAACTCCTGGGCTCAAGTGATCCTCTTGCCTTTTGGTTTCCCAAAGTGTTGGGGTTACAGACATAAGCCACCATGCCCAAAGTTCTTAAAGCTAGAAGTTCTGAGGGAATTTTATCTCTTCTTTTTACAAAATCATGGTCCATATGTGGTAAGAAAAGAATATAATTGACTCAAAACGTAAACCAACTATACACCTGTGTGTACATACAGTGAAGTGTCTTTCTTTAAATGAACCCAGAGGATATAAAAGCATTTTTAGATTCTTACTGAACCATTCAGATTGAAAGCAAATGAAATGAAAGCAAATGATAAAAGGCCATACTCTCCAATACCACTTTTTCCTCCTATTCTCTGACTAAAGGATTTATCTGTGTATACGTATTTGTACAAACATACATGTGGTTACATTTTAAAATTTTCCCACAACTACTATTGCATTCTTTATTTTTTCTCTATTCTCCAAAGTTTCTTTTTTGTACAACTGAGATAAATGGCCTTCAGTCTTTTGTGTAGAAGAAAAAACCAGAAAATTACCATTTATTAAAATCAGGCTTTTCTTAAAAAAGTTGTTACAGAAAAGTATCTTAAATGATCTATCTCTTCATAGTTGTTGAAATATTTCCACTTTAGAAAAGTATTTTAAATGATCTATCTCTTCATAGTTACTGAAATATTTCCACTTATAATTTTATAAATGCAAGTATTTGAAAAACTTTGATTTCTAGAAATACACAAGTATCAGGTACAGATTGATTCTGATCAGAAATGAATATCCATTAAGGACCACTTAAAATGAATTAGAAGCTGAATAAAGCAATGATACTAGACATCAAAACTCAACTGCTGCCAGAGGTATGGTTTTCCAAAACATGTAAATATGTGACTGCGGCTAAGGGATGAGGTAGTAATGAAAATTGTAACTTAAAAAAATTGGTTATCTGAATGTAAGCATTAAAATTCAACCTACTGATTACTTATATACCTAAGCCCAGAACATACATTTTGTTTTCCTAAAGAGAAAAGGTAGTTTGCTTAAGTCTTCCTTCAAAAATAAATCCCCAGGCTTGACATCTGTTCACTCATGAGATCTGATCAAATTCCTCATCTCCTGCTATCAATATGTCATCTCTCTGGCTTGTCTTCAGCAACTCCTCTTGAGTAGGTCTGGCAAGAATCCTCCAGCCATGACGTGTCTTCTTAGTAATTTTCCATCACTGACCCCCACCCTGCTCCTTGGCTACATATCTCCATTGGTCCTCATGTATTCTCAGTTGAGCCTGATCTCTGTCCTGTAACACAAATCCTCATCTCAGTGGTCCCCTGAATAGCGTCTGCCTTACTGTCTTTAAGAAGTATCAGGAATATTTTTTTTTCTCCAGCACACTAAGTATAAAAGTACAACAATAACTATACACACAGAGAGAAACATTAAAAAGGCAGAGAGAAGGCAGACCAGTCAGGAGTGCTGTGACCTGCAGCTCCCTGGACCTTCTTTTTGCCTTATATATACAGGTGTGGAGCTGAAGAAGCTGACAACCTGGAAATACCAACAGGCACAGACAAAAAAAGCCTCAACAGAAACCCACTCTCTCTAGCCAAAGAAGCCTCTAAAGGAAAGGGACTGCCTAGCAAGATAGAAACCTGTGGGACAATAATCACTTTACTCCAAACACCACACAAAACACTGTGGTCCACTGTGACTCATGTCAGTAAAGACCAAACAGCAGGCCCCATGCTAACTAGGTTGTGAGGAGGTGCTTCAGCCTCTCCCTGCTCCACTGGAAGGTGTCAGGGAAAGCCGAGGGAGGCAGGGCTTTAATTTCCATCTGTCGGCAATGAAGTCTCCCCTCCACAGTGTCACTGGAGACTAGGTGAGGGTTCTAGAATTCCATCACCATGGAGCAGTAACAGCCGTGTCTCCTAGTGGAGAGTCAGGACCTCCACTACTGCACAGCAGTAACTAGGCCCCACTTCCTTCACCCACACGGTGTTACTGGAGGCCCTCCTACCCCAACCAGGCAGGGATACATCAGTGAAGCCTAGTGGGGACATGAGCGCCCATCTCCAGCTAGGAGTAACAAGGAGCCTCTACCCTTTGACTGTCAGCAGGGCCCAAGTGGGGAACCCGGACTTCTACCTCCACTGGGCAACACTGAGGCAGCATCCCAATCTTCTCCTGCTGGAGTGGTGTCAAAAGAAAACCAGCTAAAACAGAAGTCTAAGTAAGACCCAGAGTCATACAGCATAACATCCAAAATGTCCAGGTTTCAACTGAGAATCACTCAACATCCCAAGAACCAAGACGACCTCAAACTGAATGAATAAAAGACAATTATGATTAAAGGCACAGCAGGGAACTAAAACATTCATCTTGCCAACAGGGTTAGGTAACTGGGCAGCAGCTGATTAGCTACCATAGTTGGACTACTGCTGGGCACTAGAAGTCAGAAACAGCTCCTTAGAAGACATGCCAACATAGTTGCTCCCTCCCTCATCAAACTTGTCATTAAGGCTTCATTAATTTCCTCTCCATTCCTGGAGTGGGATGGTTGAATCAGAGTGGGACTGTGTGTGTCTGGAAGTGACCTCAACTCAATCAACTAGGAAACTTCTAGGGCAGGGCAACCTATTCCAGTCCTAGTTCTTGTAGTAATTTGACCATAGTGAATCCACAACGGGGTTCATTTAATACTCCAAAACTCATGGTTTGACCACAGTTTTATTTTGGTGGTGACGAAACTACCCCCACCTCCGGGAGATGAACTGACAATACCTCTGGGCATCCTAAGCATGTTCTGGTAAGTACTTTTGACTTTCCTTCCAGTTTTTAGGTTCAGAAAAATTCATTCTTTGTCCCATGTTTCACCTTCTCATTTAGATTAATAATAAATGTTAATTTTATTAACTCAGTAATATATCAATTTAGCAATTTTTACTTTTATCAATTTGAAAAATTAAACTATTATTTTTAAAATGTATTGATTTATTAATCAATATTAATGGACAGTTGGTATTTACTGCATCCTTGATTTTTTAAGAAATTTAATTTATGTCACTGTGGGTTACACTGTCCTAGAAACAGAGACATAGTGGCTAGTGATCAGTTCTAATTATATCAAAAGACAGGTTTATCACTAAACAGGCTGACTTATCCCTGTTTAGATGTTTGTTATAAGCTAATCACTAATCATAACATACCAGTGTTTACTACTATAATTAGAAGGAAATAATCTACCAAAGAAAACAAAATTTTAAATAAAATGTCTACTGGTATTTTGAAGTATAATTTCCCACCCAACTATACAAAGGTCATTTCCAGACACACACAGCCCCGCTCTGATTCAACCATCCCACCCCAGGAGTGGAGAGGAAATTAATGAAGCCTTAATGACAAGTTTAATTAGTTCATGAAATAAGTGTGTCACTTAAAATGGACAGATAAACTGACTCAAGAGTTTTTTGTTGTTGTTTCTTTTTTTTTTTTTTTTGAGACTGAGTCTGGCTCTGTCACCCAGGCTGGAGTGCAGTGGCCGGATCTCAGCTCACTGCAAGCTCCGCCTCCCGGGTTTACGCCATTCTCCTGCCTCAGCCTCCCGAGTAGCTGGGACCACAGGCGCCCGCCACTTCGCCCGGCTAGTTTTTTGTATTTTTTAGTAGAGATGGGGTTTCACCGTGTTAGCCAGGATGGTCTCGATCTCCTGACCTCGTGATCCGCCCGTCTTAAAGGCACTACATATTTTTGCTTAGAGACTGAATGCAAAACAGATTTTTTAATGTAAGGTGCTTTAAAGGAAAATAGACAAAATACCCTGGAATCAATAGCATTTGGACAGAATTCCTTTCTTAAGGGAGTGCTTTTCAAGAATACTTTTATGTTAACTCTTTGGAGTATTCATGTAGCATTATCCTCATTTCCAGGAACAGAGTTTTATTAATTTATATATCAAAACAGCAAAATGGCTATGCAGTATATAAGATCACAATCACTTGTGATATATTGTGCCATAAATGCTTAAAGCATTTTCAACACATGTAAGACGTGAAAAAAAAAGGTCTTAAAAACCCTAGAACTGCATGAAAACTTCTAGCAACGCATATCCAGTAGAGCCAGTTCTGAAATCCATTACCAACAGGCTTACAGAGGGCATATGCTAATTGAGCTATAATCTATAAGGATGACAATAATGGCCTGTATTAATATTTTATTATGTGTCAGAAAACAGTAAAAAGTATGACTTGCCTATATTCTCTCTTAAGTAAGCTATTTCATTTTCATGGGTTTAACTAGTATTTCTGTTCTGATGACTCCAAAATTAACATCTCTAGCCAATGGCCTTCTTGACATATCTATTTGGGTATAAATCACCTCAAATTCAACTCTACTAAAAAGGAGCGTGTTATATTCTCTTCCATAAATGGTCTTTCTTCTTTATTACCCATTTTAACTAGGGAGACCACTTCCACTTACTCGGCCAAACCAGACATCTGACTGGTCCGTGGTCTGCGGGTAGTGACCTTGGGGCCCAAGCATAGAAGAAACAGCACAGGAACTACCAATTAGTTGTTCCTTTGCCACAGTCACCAAGAAGGCCTCATACTGAAAGAGCTAAACTAGAAAATTTTAAGTGGAGTTGGATTACTGAATTGCTGTATGGAGGGCAACTTCCTCATAGAGTCAGCAAGATCTGCAGTGGACTTTGCATAACCAAGAAATAAGCGTTTACTGTGTTAAGGCACTAAAATTAGGTGGTGTTTGATACAAAGAATGGCCTAGTGAAAACATTACTCCATCTCAACTACCCTGTATTCTTGTCCTCATCATTTCATATCTGCATAACTGGAATAGATTCTTAAACAGTCTCCCTTAAACAGTCTCCCTGTTTTTAATCTTACCATCTTCTTACTCCAGGCTCCCCTTAACTTCCTCCATTGGCTGCCAGAGTGATTGATTTATCTATAAAAGAAAACTCTGAAAACATCAGAGAGACTAAAAGCCTCTCCATGGCTTGGCATCACTTACAGGAGCAAGTCCAAACTACTCTCAGCATTGTCAATACAGGGATCTCCATGACCTGTCCCCTCCCAGCTCTGGAGTCTCACGTCACTGCCCAGTAGTGCAGACTTGGTAAGAAGAAGCCTTCTATGGCTCCCTGATCTCAGGATGCTTCATGCTTTAGCACCCCCAGCCACAATGATCCCTCTGCCTAAGAGGCTCCTTTTCTAGCTCATTCATGAGTCTAACTCTTATTAGTCTTTTAGTATTCTTTCTCCAAAAATATTGTTTGACCTCTTCTGCCCCAGGCTGTCTTAAGAATGTCTTCTTTGCATATATCAACAAATGCTAGTCACTAAGCAGAGATAATGTATTTATCTTTCTCCTTCAAATAAAGCGGAACCCTAATACGCTCAGGGGCAACAAGCTTGTCATACTCATACATGAAGGACTTGAGAAGGTGTGTTACCTACTCCACGCGTTAGTTTCCTGGAGCTGCCATAAGAAATTATCACAAACAACATGAACACAACATAAATTTACACTCTCACCGTTCTAGCGGCCACAAGTCCAAAAGTATGGTGCTGGCAGGGCCACATTCCTTGTGGAGACGCTAAGGGAGAATCCTTCCTTGCCTCTTTTGGCTTCGGTGACGGTGGACATTTCTTGGTTCAGAGCCACCCAGCCTAATCTCTGCCTCTGCCTTTACATCACTTATCTTCTGTATCTGTCTTCTGTCTCTCACAAGGACTTGTCATTAGGGTTAGGGCCCCACCTGGATAATTAAGAATGATCTCTTCTTGAAATCCTTAATTTAATCCCGTCTGCAAAGACCCTTGATCCAAATACGGTTACATTTACAGGTTATAGGAATTTGGATGTGGACATATGTTTTTTGGGGGCAATATGTTTGGGGAGGGCATATGTTTTGGGTGCATTCAATCTACTACAGCCTGCCTTCTAGTCCCACCAAATTAATATCTGTCCCATATACAAAATATGTTCACCCCATTCCAGTATCCCCAAAAATCTTAACCCAGTACCGCATCAACTGTAAATCCAAAAGTCCATCTAAATAGCATCCCTCAAAAGTCCCGTATCTCCTCATCTAATTAATCTGAATTGGGTATGAGGGAGACAAAGTAGGATCCATCTTCTCCATCTGTCAATATGCGAAACAGAAAACAAGTTATCAGGTTCCAAAATACAATGGTGGGACCAGTATATAATAGACATTCTCATTCCAAAAGGGAAAAACTGGAAGAAAAAAAGGGGTCATCAGCCCTAAGCAAGTCTGAAATCCAGCAGAGAAAATTCCACTAGGTTTCAAGGTCTGAGAACAATCCTCTGGCTCAAGGCTACGCCCTCTGCCTGTGGTGGCTCCGTTGGCTTCTGCCTCTGGATCCCTGGTTGCTCTGTTGACATAAAATCTTTAAGTTTTGACTTTTTAAGACACAACTAACCAATACTGTCATAATTCAGTAGAGTAGTTACTCTTGGAGGAATAGGCAGGGGATGGTACCTGAAAAGGGAGTGTAAGAACGAGTTGCTGGGGTGTTGGCAATAATCTGCTTCCTGGATGTAGATGCTGGTTACATAAGTGTGTAAAATTTCACTGACATGTATACTTAGACATGTGTACTTTTTAATATATGTAATTATTATTATTATTTTTTGAGACAAAGTCATGCTCTGTTGCCCAGGCTGGAGTGCAATGGTGCGATCTTGGCTCACTGCAATCTCTGCCTCCTGGGTCCATGCGATCCTCCTGCCTACTCCGATCCTCCCGGAGTAGCTGGGATTACAGGTGTGCACCACCACGGCCGGCTACTTTTGGTATTTTTAGTAGAGACAGGGTTTCACCATGTTGGCCAGGCTGGTCTCGAGCTCTTGACCTCAAGTGATCCGCCCACCTCAGCCCCCCAAAGTGCTGGGATTACAGGTGTAAGTCACTGTGCCTGGCTGCATGCATTTCATTAAATTTTTTTTTGTGACTGGGCACAGTGGCTCAGGCCTGTAATCCCAACATTTTGGGAGGCTGAGGTGGGCAGATCACAAGGTCAGGAGTTCGAGATTAGTCTGGCCAATACGGTGAAACCTTGTCTCTACTAAAAATACAAAACTTAGCCGGGCATGGTGGCAGGCACCTGTAGTCCCAGCTACTCGGGAGGCTGAGGCAGGAGAATCGCCTGAACCTGGGAGGTGGAGGTTGCAGTGAGCCAAGCTCATGCCACTGCACTCCAGCCTGGGCAAAAGAGCAAGACTCTGTCTCAAAAAAAAAAAAAAAAAAAAAAAAAAAAAAGACTGTATTGCAAGAAGCTTTAAGCAACGGAGGAAATGATCTTTATATCTGACAAGGAGAGCAATTTCTGTCAATCACGGCTCATGCTTTTACTTTGCTATAGTTATATCATTATGGCAATAAAAAGAAGGATATTTAAGTTATGGCTCATCTTACCAGACAACATAAAAGTGAGAGACCCACTTAGTCTCATCTCAGATTGTTAAAATATGTATTAAGAGAAACAGTCATTTTGGTGCACAGCCGTAAGAACAGCCGCAAGTCAGCTGCTGGTAATTTCATCTACCGTTCAGGAGGACAATGCGGGCTCAGGGAACACTGCTATGACTGCTGTCTTGATGTCTAAATACAAAGAGAGCTCTAGAAAGCGATTAGCTGAACCAGAACCAGCCTTAGATAGCGATTAGCTGAACTAGAACCAGCCTTAGAAACAGGGTTCCTTCAGTTCTTCCTGGCTATTGTTTCTCAGTAATAAGACAGATAGGAAGGTAACTGTGAGGAAACTTGTCAGGGAAGAAAACCTGATTTAGAAGAATCTTCCACGTAACAGAAGTTGAAATGAAGAACTGGTAAACACTGTGGACTAGGGTGGACTAGGGGAACGTGGTGCACCTGTGATCCTTCACTGGCTTTGGGCCATGACTGGGAACCAACCAGTCTTCTCTAAGTGTTTTAGCATCTGGGTCTCGGAGACAGTTTGGTAATTGTTTCAGGTGTGCAATTTGGGTGTGCTCGTAAAGTGCCTATGTAGATTTAAACATAGTAATATCCACTCAATCTCTTTGCATATTTCTACTGAATCAGCTAGTTAAAAGTTAGGTAGGCCCAGACTGTACATGTTCCAAATTATTTTCTGAGAACCCATAATTTTAGATTTAATCATTAGTAGGTTGCAATTTTATGCAAGACCAGGAAAAACATCATTTCCAATTCAAAATGCTCCATTCAGGAGCAAGGCTGGCAGTACCATTAACTTTCAGCATTCTCTACCCTGAAAACCAACTACTACAAATACTGTTTTAGTATTAAAGCTCAACAATCTATTTCTTTAAATTCTTATATTTCATAAAACTTTTGAAATATAGGGGAAAAATATTGAACTTCAGGTATGATAGATGTTCCTCCTTCAACAGTCACTATTTTCTATGAACTTTTCAACAGCTTTCCAATCACCCATCTCTATGAGCTCTTAAGAACGCAAATTAATTGATTCTTAAAATTAAAAAAAATGCTGGTGGCTAAAAGGTATCTTAATAAATGCCATGCAATACTTTGGAACCATATTTGCATACATCTTGTCTATGTATATATGACAGTTAATAGTATTTTAATAACAAAATTATTTCCAATGGTAATTTAGAGTTATTAGCACATGGATTTCCGAACTTAGCTACTTAAAAATTAGCTTGTCATTTTACCCTGTCCTCGGCTGTACAGCTGTTCATTAATCCAGTCAATTTTTTACAAGGTAATTGTTAAAATTAGAAGACATCTTTTTAATACAAGATTTGGAAAACAGTTTGACCTGTCAGGATTTTGAATTAATTTTTTAAAATTGGGGGCAATCCTTTACAGTAATATATATATTTTCACTGTAATTTATAATAAGGGTAGATTAAAGTACTATTTATTACAACTGAGTACGATGGGGTTATTAATAATATGGCCGAAGGCTACTGAAATCTCTTACCTAAAGCACGTACTGTAATGATGGTAACACATTTTGGTACAGTGATTAGGAATGTCAGATCTGGAGTGATATATTTGTTCTGAATCCTGGTTCAGTCACTTACGAGCTACATGACTTAGGGCAAGTTACTTAACCTCTTTCCTTCTCTGTAAAATGAGGATAACTCTACTTCTTAGGGCTGTAGTGATGACTAAATGAATTAATTCACAGAAAGAACTCAAAATAGGGCTCAGCTGCCTAGATGTTAAATATTATCTTCTTGAGATGACTAATGGCATGAATACCGTTTTCTAGAAAGTCATGTGATAGTACCTTTGGTCGTGTAAATTACAGCTTCTGAAAATGGCACTCAGTGACAGCTAATATTCTAGTTTAACACCACTCCTATTATCCTTCAATGCAAATATCATTTAATTCCACATTCGCTTTTTGTTGTGTGTGTGACAGAGTCTTGTTCTGTCTCCCAGGCTGGAATGCAGTGGCGCGATCTTGCCTCACGGCAGCCTCTGCCTCCCAGGTTCAAGTGATTCTCCTGCCTCAGCCTCCCAAGTAGCTGGGATTACAGGCGCCCACCACACCTGTCTAATTTACATCTGCTTTTAACGAGTATCTAAAACAGTTCAAAAGAGACCAAAAGAGGCAGCAGGAACAGATTTTTGGCATATATTGGTCTGACTGGTTCCCACCAAGAGAAGTTTAATGGAGGAGGGAGTGACCCTCAAACTAATCTTTCTAGTTTTACATATGCTTAATGAGATCCTCAGACCAACGTCAACGAGCACAGGAAAGGCAGCTATAAATCATACCGCCTGACGGACACAGAAGAAACGGAGAGGAGGGCACCAGCATACGGGCAGGAAACCTGGGTTGATTTATCTACATTGAGACCATTCAAGAGGGGTCAGGAAACTCAGAAGATTTATAAATTAATTCCCTGTGGCATCATAAAAGGGAGCAGTTTGACGATAGGAAAGGCAAGTTAGATTTGATGCTGGAAATGAAGGGAAGAGTCTTATCAAATTGTTGTGAGGGATTTTTTCCTACATCTGGAATTTATGACAAAAAAATGCAACAGATGATGAAAGGAGACTGGGCTGAATCCAGGTTTCCCCACATTCCCAGCTTCGGGACTTTTTACTTATCAATAGCTCCAATCAAGCAGACTTTATCAAAATATGATCTATTTCTTCGAAGGATTCAAAAAAAAAAAACCCAGGACTTTTTCATCTTCAAAATGCAATACTTTTTAATAAAATAATACTTTCATAAAAAAGCAAATTTCTATAGACAGAGTTAAACAATCTTTACATATGTTTTCTTATGCTTTTTGATTGCTTCTTTTTAAACTCTTAAAGTCAGCACTTAGCAGATGATACAGCTACAGGTAAATAAGTTGATTTATCAAAATATAGAAAATAATGAATTTTAGACTTTAAAATCATTTGATCTATCCACCCAATATTATAGATGAGGAAGATAAAGCCCAAAGAGGCAAGTTAGGCAGCTTGTGGCCTTATTTGTGTTAAAACAAATAAAATTAAATCAGCCTTGTGGCCTGATTTATATAAAAATAAAAAATACTTTAGCTGCCGACACTTAGACATAAAGAGATTTATATAAAAATCTGAATTCTCCAGGGAAAAATGGATGCCTGAATAACACAGGACTCACATCTAACATGGTCACAAGAGCTGGAATTAAACGTGCCTGCCTCTGTAGACAACACTGTGTGGTCCCTAGTTTATCACAGTTCCCTTTCTCCTGTGGCCTGAAACCACTTCACTCACTCCTTTTATTTACGACACCTGCCTGGCCCATACAGCCCTAGGGTTAGGCGCTATTGAGTATCCCAATAGTACCTTGTAAAGTGTGAAGTGTTTGATATTTTTTGACGGTGTTACTACGTTCACGATTAAATACTTAGTTATCAGTAGAGTCGGATCTAGAGCTCAGGTCTCCAGACTCTCGGTGTAGTGTTATTTCTATTCTACCACACTATACATACAGGAAAAATAGACAGGAATGGTCATAGAATGGGAATTCTTAGATTCGAACAAATAATCACACCAAGAATAACTTGGCTTAACATAAAGAATAAATACAATCAACAACTCTGGTCCACGTGAAAAGTTTCTTTCTCTTTCTCTCTGCTCCCTCCCTTTCTCCTTTCTTCTCATTTGTTCAACTTAAGCCCAAGGGAAAATGAATATGCGAAGGACAGAATGGCTTTGCTAATGATAAGGAAAAATACTGACTTCAGGCTAGGAAATTCCAGCCTATGATGATGATTTGAAGAGAAGTTTAAAGTAGAGATTAAGCTGAGGAAGTGCAAGGCAATTCCAGAAGTGAGGACAGTGGATGAAAAATGGTTTACATCTAGCTCCTTTCAAAACAATCTGGATACCATCAGTAGGAACAATCTAGTTGATCTTAGTGTTTGTAATGGTTCAGAGGAAGAAGTATATACATTTGAGTACTTAATATACACAAACTTAGGGTTGAAAGGAGATAAAATAGTTTTTAAAAGATTAACATTTTTATCTTAACTAGTCAGTAGGGGCCATTGAGGCCAGTTGTGGTGGCTCATGTGTGTAATCTCAGCACTTTGGGAGGTCAAGGTGGGAGGATGGCTTGAGGCCAGGGGCTACGATTACACACTGCACTCCAGCCTGGGCAAGAGTGAGTCTCTGGCTCTATTAAAAATAAATAAGAACATTAAAAAAATAAGGGCCATTGAATTATTAAATGCAGACTGAACTGTAATCTTCTGTATTTTCTGAATTGTATTCTTCTGTCAAATTCTGAATATTCTAAGCAAAGTTTTCATTTTCTAGGATAAAACAACAGTCACCCTCAAGGAGATAATACCATACAGGACAGCTGGGAGGCTGATACTCATGTACGCAGCAGATACAGTATGACGTAGGCACCATCAAGGACAAGCAAGGTGAAGGGGCCCTGGCAGTGCCTAACACAGATGTGTTCTGAGGAATGTCTTCTCAGTCATAAAACAGGCACCTGGCATTATAAATAACAGATCTATATATAAAACAAAGGGATACATAAATGCTCTCAGAGGCTGGCCTCATTATCAAGAATTTAAACCAAGTGAGATGAACAGATGTTTACAACATTTTACTCCCACGATTTCTGCAGCGCTTAAGCTGCTACAACACTTGCTATTTGATTTTCCCTTTATTCACTGACAACTCAGGAGCTCTCTGTGCTTTTATTCTACCACTGTTAGCTTCTTTTAGAATGTAAAACAGTTTTAATAGTATGATGAGTGGGCTTTTCCAGTTGTTACAGAATTGGTGACCAAGGCCCAAAGCAGGTGACAAAAAAGAGCTAAGCAACCAACGTGTATAAAGGCAGCTCAGTGGCCAGTGGCCGAAAAGGCACTATTGTCAGCAGTCCAATGTCTCAGCAGGTGCCCCTACATCCATCTAAGACTGGTGTGAGCTGGTGTTAAGGCTGGAAGAAGGACTTGTCGCATGGAGAGTTGTGTGTTCATTCGAGAAGGCCCCCTTTGCCTTAGCTAAGAGACAGAGGGCTCAAAGAGAACCACTCCTAAAGACTGGGTGTGAGTACAAGTCAAGGAGACTGACATCTCATTCCTTCGTTTTGTATCTACTCAGGCATCAGACTTGTTGATCTGCCTGGTGCTTATCTGAGGAGGAGACAGATGGCAGATGGAAACAGAAGTATCGAGGCAGCCTGTTTCTCACCATTTGGCAGGGCAAGGATGCACGCGCTTTCTGTGGGTCAAGTGATGTTACAGAGAGCTGTCAGGTTTGTGTCTTTTGGCTGCTGCTCCACCCCAAAGGAAACAATGCTGGCCAGAGAAGCAGCATCAGAAGATGAAGAAGGCAGAGGAGTGAAAGAGAATGGAACTTGTCCCTTTCCCCCTGCAGGCCTCTCAAGTGAGCTGACGAGGGGAAGAAAAGATGAAGTAAGTTCTGCTTTGTTGTCTGATTTGCTTTCTTACACTACAGAGTATGGTGGAATCACACAGTGTGTACTTTTCTGTGTCTCCATTTTTGCTCGGTGTGTCTTTGCGATTCGTCCACCCTGTTGTGTGTCTGTAGTTCATTTCTATCCACTGCTGAGCAGCATTTCACTGCATGAACATACCACGTTTGTTTATTCACGCACTTGCTGTGGCAGTCAGCCCTCAGGATGGCTGCAAGGATCTCTGTCTCCAGGTGTTTGCAACATTGTGCTGCCCCCTCCCATAGGACATAAGGGCTGGTCTGTGCGATCAACAGACTAAGGCGGAGGTGATGGTATGTCACTTCTGAGGTTAGGTTATGGAAGACACTGCAAATTCTGTTTTGGTTGTTCTCTTCCTTTCTTGGGTCACTTGTTCTGGAGAAGCTGGCCCTCGTGTCCTAAGTAACCCTACAGAGGAGTCTGTATGGCAGAGAGCCAAATCATCTCTGGAGAGAAAACAGGGACCCTGCTCCAGGGGAAGATGGTGGTGTTAAGGTTCCAGATGTCACTCCCTGGCCACGAGGACTGCGGGACCATCCTCACAGTTTACAACATTCCGCATGACATCCAGGGACCCGAGCACCCCAACCCTGGAAAGCCATTTACTGCCAGAGGGTTTCCCTGCCAGTGTTACCATCCAGACAACATCCAGGGCCACAAGGTCCTGGAGCTCCCGAAGGTGCCCTAGAAAAGGTGGCTCATCTTCACAGTGGGCACGTCCAGTACCATGGGTGATAGCGATACTGTGGTGTGGAATGAGATCTACCACAAGACAGAGATGGACTGCAACACGACAGGCCACGGCTACCCCAACCCCAACTACCTGCAGAATGTGCTGGTCGAGTTGGCCTCCCAGAGGGTGACCGAGGACTGCCCGAAGCAGCCGTGACCTCTTGCCCTGGCACGCTGCCTCTGGTGGCCACCCTGCTGTCCCATGGCTGGCTGGGTGGGCAGGCAGGAAAGCGCCCAGCCTAAGAGGCTGGAATGTTTGTTGGGGCGTGGGGTATGCCCCACCTGAAGCTAGGGCTCCACCTGCCTGCCCCTCCCTCCTCCTCCCCTCCAGACAGGGATCTGTGTGGGAACTGGGCAACCCTAGGGAGTTGTAGGGGCTTAAGATGCAGCTACCTCAGTGTGCAGGACACGTCTGTCCTCCGGGGGCTGCTTTGGGCCCGAGGTGCTCAGGGACTGGTGTGGGGCAAGTAGAGATGGCCCAGCCTGGGCGGGCGTGGCTTCTGGGTCAGCTTCTTTTACCTCAATTTTGTTTGTAATAAATGCTCTCTAGCCAAAAAAAAATAAACAAATAAAATAAAATAAAAAAAAATAAAAAATAAAAAGAAGAATAAAAAATAAAAATAAAAATAAATTCACAAATGAATTTGGAAGTGGGTCCTCCATCCCCAGCCAACCCTTCAGATGACTGAATACCGAGAGCCTGACTGTACACTCATAAGGGACCCCGAGTCAGAACCACCTGCTAAGCTGTGTGGAGATTCCTGGCGCTCAGTCACTGTGTGAGACAATAACGATTACTTTAAGCCACTAAGTTAAGAGTAATTTTTATGCAGTAATAGATAACTAACAGATTCTGGCATAACTGGGAATGGGGGTAACACTGTAACAAAACTTCAAACGCCAGCGTGGCTTTGGAGCTGGGCAGTGGGCGGAAGCTGGAAGACTTGGAAAGATTCTGAGGAGAGCACTAATGCAAACCTCAAGTGCCCTGAATTTTGGCTGTTTGCTCAAATGGGGGTTTTCAGGAGGCTGCCGCTGGATCTTAAAGGGAAGCGAAGAACTTGTTACTGGGATCGTTGATATGCGGTACCAGAACGTTAGCAACAACGTCACCTGCAGCTGTGTGAAAAGTGGAGAATGTGCTGAATGAACTGCGAGATCCGGCTAAGTAGATTTCCAGTTAAAGTGCTGAAGGTGTGGGCCTGGTTTCCTCTTGCTGCTTATGGCAAAATGTGAGAGGAAAATACACTAGTGTGGCCACCCCAAAGACAGCTTAGCATGGCCCTTTTATGTATTTATGGGAATTTACAAACACGGCATAAATCTAAAATACATATATTTTAAAAATTCCGTATGTGTATTACAGCAACAAACTGAAAGTGAAAAATCAGACCAAAATATCACACAATATACTCCCTAGATTAGTCAATATTTGACCTGCTAGTAGGTGTTCCTTGTGACGTGCTTCCCTTTGATAGTGTATTTGTCAAAACCGCGAAGCCCCTAATGATAATGATAGGTATAAAATACCCTAACTATGCAATTTATTTCAGGATGTCATCTGAAGGCTCAGATGCAATAATATAACAGTCAACAAGGTACACCCTACCCTCATATTCCTTAAATCTTAAGTCTTAACTTTCTGCCTCTGTAAGAAAATTTAGTCCTCTGTTGGTTCAGAACATAGGACAGAGGAAAGGAAGGGAAAGTAGTTAATAAAACTGAGCCACGTCATGACAATACGGAATAATGGCAACTTGAGATTTTATGTCATGTATGTGGCTTTAAAGGTTGATTCTCCATTATTCTTATTGGCAAGAAGCTTCCATCATGGATTTCATTTCTAAGGAAAAGGCTTTAAATCACTAAGTAGACTACAGACAGGTCTATTTGCTTGGCTAGTTGGGAGAACTTTTCATATAATTTTTTTTTTCATAGAACAGAATAAGTCCCAAAAGGTGATTTTCATCTAACTGGGTTCATATTAGATGATTAGTATGTCTTCACAGGATTTTAGCTTCCTTCAAAAACAATTCATGTATACTACAGAGAGCCAACAATCAGTTTGACATGTAAGAATCCAATTATTTATTGTCTTCCAGCTTGGTGGTCCTAAATATTGCTCCAATGGGGAGTGGTCAGGACCCTGGGCTAAGAATTTGAAAATCAGATTTGAGCGTTTTTTTAAAAAAAGTATGTGACGCCTACATTCTTCAGATCAATGTTAAGCCAGTTCTTCCCAAATTTTAGTAAATAAGAACAAATCACATTTTTCACATACAAAACAACTTATATTCTTCACTCAAAACTCTGAGATAGTAAAGAAGACACATTTCAAACCAGCAAATGACTTGAGTTTGGCTGGAGAAGAATTAATAACGAAACTGCATTTTCTCTCATGAAAGCTGTGAGCAAAGCACATGTCCACCAAAACTGAAAGCTGAAACGATACTATTTTACTGTTGTCATAACCCTAAGTTCCAAACAAAGGGAGTTTACTGAACCTTCCAAAAGGTATTCACCTTTGTACCAATAAATAATAAGCCTGGGAAATTTTCGTCCAAATAATGATTTATTTGGAAAGTTCCAAGTGCCTACAGTGGTGATGATAAAAGTGTCTTTTCAACCACAACTTCATAATTAGTACACCATGCTACTATAGTAGACAGTAGCCTTTAATGCCACGAGGAGGAAAAGATAGATGATACACAGTCATTTAAAGGTGGGCCAATGGCAAGTCCTATATCATGTGAGGAAAGTTAAAGTCAAAATAAGAAAGGCATTAACCTATATACATTTTCTATTCACTAACAACGAAGGAGCAAAATAACCCTAAATAAATGAATCAAAAGATAGTGAGTCCATCTTAGGGGACAAATTGTTTCTGAGTGGGATATGTGGACAGAGCATTGAATCTGTTATTACGGTAACCAGCATTCTAACAGGGATGGGGAAGTGTGAAAGCATGTACAAATGTGGGTTCATAGACGCGTGAATGTGTGCCAGAACGTCTGCTAGACCGCAGAAACAGCCAATTCAGAGCATAGGCTGGGTTTCCCGACCTACTCAGCGAATGTCAAAGTACTCAACTTTACCTGATGGAACAACAAGAGTAAAGGTATCATACAAGGCATCATATGCAGTGCCACGAGAGACTAAAAATTGTTAACTAGAGAGTGGACAGAAGTTAATAAAAGACAGGTACGCAAAATATTATTCACTTGATTCAGGTATTTTTTTACACCACACCTACTGAAAGTACTTGGGGCAATAGTGAAATACTCTTTCCATCAAGAACTTAGTGATTAGGGAAATGAAGCGGTCTTCGGAGGATTAAGCAAGCAAAATACACATAACACAGTAGAAAACTACTCTATGAAAATGCTTGACTGAAGAATACAGGATCATTCCCAAGACCAACTGGATCACCTGATGTAATCTCAAGGAAGTAATGCTGGGACGACGGGAGAAAGACCTCGTGTACAGAAAGGTGATGCTCAACCTGGAACAGGGAAAAGGGAAACCCAAGGGAAACAAATCACACCATTTCTTTTTTGTTTCTGGTTCTTTATCGACAGAGAGGGGAAGGGCTGGAGTATAAATAGATACCCTTTTCTGTCTCTCAGGGAAACAAACGAGTATCATAAAAACATAAAATAGCATTGTTTGTATTATTCTAATTCTAATACAATCTAATTACCAACCATCTGGAATCTTCACACAAGATGGTAAGGGAGAGAAGAGAATCACTTCTAATTCTGGGTCCACCACTTAGTCTTCATGGAAATTTAGCCACAATTTTAACGTTTTTGGGTCTGAAGTGCTTCCTCTACATAACGAAGATACTATCCAGAGCTGTGGGGAAGATCCTGTGATATACAGCCCTTGTGCCCTGCACACTGCAGTCAAGTGGTACGTGGTGGCCATTGTTGTCACTGCTCTATTTTCACAGAATTATGAAAAGTTATACTACTAGGGGATATTTAGAACAGGCGGGTAACGTGGAAAATCACAGAACTAGAAGGCGAGTGAGATGGGATGTATGCTTGGGAGTTATCATTTTCCTAATGTTGAGGACTTCAGGCAGATGGGCATTTAAATGTTCTTCAGTGACGAAAATTTAAAATTTAAGAAAGACATATTAGAATTTAGAATTATTTTTTAAAAATTCTATATTAGAGTCATATCATTAAAAAGAACAGGTGGAAAAAAGGAAGGATAAAAAGTAACTCTACCTCTTTTTCCTAACTGCCCTGAGAAATACGTTCTTCCTCAGAGGAGTGGAACACCATGTGCTAGTTGTATAATTCTGAACACTATGTGAGTCTGCACATTTAAATAAAGTGGTTAGAAATAACCAAGAATTAGAGCCAGGCTGGGGGCGGTGGCTCACGCCTGTAATCCCAGCACTTTGGGAGGCAGAGGCGGGTGGATCACGAGATCAGGAGTTCAGGATCAGCCTGGTCAAGATGGTGAAACCCTGTCTCTATTAAAATTACAAAAAATTAGCCGGGCATGGAGGCGGGCACTCGTAATCCCAGCTACTCAGGAGGCTGAGGCAGAGAATTGTTTGAACCCAGGAGGCGGAGGTTGCAGTAAGCCAAGATTGTGCCACCGCACTCCAGCCTGGGCAAAAGAGCGAAACTCCGTCTCAAAAAAAAAAAAAAAAAAAGCATGAGAGCCATGCTTCCTGAGACTACCCCTCCCTCAATGCACTGTGTGTCACCCACGGCACAGTTCTCACCATGAACAGGGCTATCAGTGATAGAGAATGGAAGTGGGGATTCTAGGCACTTTAGGTTTGCTATCTTATTTAATTTCACGCCAACTCTGTGAGGTAAATCTGAAGTGAATGGGTAAATAAGTTACATAATGTTTGGATGAGCTGCTAAAGCTGTCAGCAGAAAAAGCTGGCAAGGCCAGGACTACCTTCCACAGAATGTGATACGATTTGGCTCTGTGTCCCCACCCAAACCTCACCTCGAACTGTAATCCCCAAGTGTCAGGGGAGGGGCCTGGTGGGAGGTGACTGGATCACGCGGGCAGATTTCCCCTTTGCTGTTGTCAAGATAGTGAGTTCTCACGAGATCTGATGGTTTAAAAGGGTGTGGCAGTTCCTCGCTTGATCGCTCCCTCTCTCCTGCCACCATGTAAGATGTGCCTTGCTACCTCTTCACCTGCCACCATGATTGTACGTTTCCTGAGGGCTCCCCAGCCATGTGGATCTG